TGATTCTGTTTCCTCTCGACTATGGCTCATTAGCTATTCCTGTTTTGTTTATTTAGTGGCTTCTCTAGCATTTATTTTATATATTCACTTACCATAATCATATTCGAATGTTATACATATATAGTGTGAAAACCTTACAATTTCTGATTCCTCCTTCCACACTTGTACTACTGCCGTCTACAGGGAGCTGTGGCTGACTCAACCGCGTGTAACCACACCCACGATAAGTAGCCCCACAATACAGCAACCTGCACACAGAGCCCACTGCATAGGGTAAAGTGAGAAACGGAATAATACGTCCATGTTAACAATGATCTCACTGTTTGGGGACAGGCTGACTGCATAGTCACCAATTAATCAGCCACCAACAAGCCTTAGCTCTGGAGCCGGGTACTCCAAGGCCTCCAGCTATGCCAGATATCATCCCTTTCTTTTTGCTGGATCATGGTGGTGCCTAGGAGACAGTCAGGAATTTCCATGGCAAAGAAGGGGAGATCCGAGGTGGGGCTTGAGACAGCAATTATTTACCCAGCAGCTTAAGAGGTATTTCAGTATTTTTAGGCTGGTCAACCATTCAGGTGTGTGCAGCTGTGTACATGCCTTGGAGATACGGAATGTGAAGCACTTCCCTATAAATGCTTCTCTACGGAGCCCTCAAGGATGTATGGCTTGTGTGCTAACATTACAGCAGGACAGAATTCTCTGAGGGCATGAGACAGGTATCTAGGTTGGTCCAATGTAGAAGGCAGAGCAGAAAGAAAATATTCACAAGTGTGTTATAAATAATAATGGCAGGTATTCAGTACTTGCTATCGATCAAACACTGTGTGAGGCAAGTCACATTCATTATCTCTAAACCACACCAAGACCCTTGCGAGCATATTGTTATTCTAATCTGCAGATGAGGAACAGGAGGCATGGAAAGATTAACTCCCACCCCCCATTCCCCCCACCTCTGCACACACACACACACACACACACACACCCGTCACAGTGAAAGGCAGACCTGTATTGTATCCATCTCACTCATCCCAGCGCCCCCTTTGATCAAGGCTATTCCTTCCACTATGTGAAGAATTTACTTACAAGTGTTTCATTTGTATGAAATAGTGTCAGCAATAGCAAATAAAGCCCAGGCTCATGCTTCATCTCTCTGGATTCCTGAAAGCTCCCCTTAATTAGCCTTCTCATTCTAGAAGAGGAATCATGCCTTGGAGCTGGAGGGAAAACATGGGTTACCAAAGTTCCATGATTATGGGAAATTAGCCTCATAAACATAGCACTCAAGCAACTCAACCCCAAATCCCTTAACTGGTGCCACAAGGTATGATCCTCAGAAGGCATGGCCTCTCTGGGGCCTGCAGTCTTCCTTAATTTAACATTGTCCAGATGCTATGTATAGCAACATTTTATTTTATTTTTAATTCGTCTGACAGACATAGCATAAGCAAGGGGAGAGGCAGAAGGAGAGGGAGAAGCAGACTCCCCAGTAAGCTGACACAGGGCTGGATCCCAGGACCTGGAGATCATGACCTCAGCGGAAGTCAGACACTTAACCATCTGAGCCCCCTAGGCGCCTAGTGACTTTTTAAACTGGAAGTGCTTCCTGCCTTTTATTACTAAGCCAAAGGACTAAAAGTAAGTTTGAAGTTTGTATTCTATTTTATGATGGCATCCTTCCTCTTAGGTGACCACACTGGGTTTTTGGATAGGAAACTGACTCAACTTGCTCAGTAAAGATGAATCCAACTTGCAGCCCCTTGAATCTGACAAATCTTACATTTTTTCTTTCCTGAAAAGGAACAATAGAAATTACTGGTGTCAATCCAAATATCCAAAAGCTGTGAGGACTTTCCATGAGACCAAACTCCCAAATCTATGACCAGAGTAGGAAGTACAACCGCAAATGTAGTAAGTGAGATTTAGTTTCGTAATTAACACACCTGCTGGCTCAGTTATAACAACTCAAAAGCAGGCTACATAAAAAGAAATCAACCTCATAAACATACTCAAAAACTACAAATAGATTTTGGTTTTTTACACTCAATGCAACAAAGCTTCACACCAGAACTCTTGGACCTACACAAATTCACTAAACATAAAAAGAAAGTGTCCTCAAAGATAGGAGTAAAGACCTTACACACACTTTCATGGTATTAATACTTCTGTGCAACATAATATATGTGTTTAAGATTTTTTTTTTCAAAGTCAACTTAAAACATTTTATGTAAAATTTGCCATTTGACAACTAACTTTCACTAAAAGGCTCAAGATTACCCCATCAGCCTTACTCCACAGTGACAAAGACTTGGAGATCACTGATCTAATTAATAAATGAGAGTGACAGGTTCAGTTTCCCATTGAATGTAATCAGTGCCCTGGGCTCTGCACAGTAGCCACCTTGACAACATGTAAATTAAAGCAACCAAGACCAGTCTAAATATTTGAGAAGTTGCCTTAATTTCTTTTGCTCACAAATGCCTCTCCCTTAAACTTCAGCATAAGTGCTGTTCTCCTCTGGCAGATTAAAAAATCGTACCCACATCCTCTTTAAGAGGAGTAGGAGAGATAGGAGGCAGTGGGCAGGAGGACAGAGCAGGTTTTAATTTTTCCTTAGCTGCTTCCAACTTCCTTATGTTGGCTAAGATTCTTCCAAAAACCTCACATTTAACTGTCAAGCACTTGTAATTTTGAAGGTACTATGAGATTTTGGGGTGCCTGCATGGCTCAGTCGGTTAAGCTGCTGTCTTCAGTTCAGGTCATGATCCCAGGGTCCCGGGATCGAGTCCCGAATCCAGCTCCTTGCTCGGTAGGGAGCCTGCTTCTCTCTCGGCCTCTGCCTGCCACTCTGCCTGCTTGTGCACTTGCTCTCTCTCTCTCTCTCTGACAAATAAATAATTAAATAAAATCTTTCACAAGGTACTGTGAGATTTTGATTTTTAGGTCTTCATGTGAAACGTAAAATTGATCACTGCTAAGAACTTTGGTATATAATTAATAGGTATCAAGACATTAAGGGAAGTTTATTTATGAATCAGTTTGAATTTAACAAAATGATAGGTGGGAAACGTTCATTTTTTTCAGATTTTATAAAGGAGTTCAGAAAACTTGGTGGATAATGCAGAGATTATTATGAAATGGTAGACACCACCATGATACAAGTCCATCAAACGTGTCCCCAGTTAATGATAGTTGTATAGGGGCGCGTGGCTGGCTCAGTCCGTGAACGTGCAGCCCTTGATCTTGGCGTTGAGTACGAGCCCCACAACAGGTGTAGAGATTACTTACAAAAGAACAAAACAAAAACACCTTTATAAATAAATCAATAAATCAGTAAATAAATAAATGTCTGTATAGTGGTTAAGAGCAGGGGCTCTAATTCCAATCTTTGTTTGCACTGCTTGTATGACGTTGGGAAGATAATTAAGCATTTTTATGCCTGAATTTTCTTATCCATAAACATTTATCACCTACATCATTCAAGGAATCATACTAAGCACTTTGGGGACTCAGATAAACATACCTTACTTTCAAAAAATTTTAAAACCTAGCTGGAGACACAAGCAATGGTAAGTAGTTATAATACAAGAGGGACGAACTGAAAGAGCACGAACCCTGGGGCAAGAGTGCCAAGACTCCCTTTGAGAATGAGAGCAAGTTATTTAGTTCCTCGAGCCTCAATTTCTTCATGTCTAAAATGGTGGAAATACTAGTCTTTACACCTCAGAGTGTTTCCTGACAACTAAATATGTTTATTACAAAGAGCTCATCAAAGCCACAAAGAGATACCACTTCACACCTGTAAGAATGGCTATTACCAAAAACACACATAAAAAACACCAGAATATACCAAGTATTGCCAAAGACGTCGAGAAACTGTATCCCTGCTGCACTGCTGGTGGAAACGTAAAATGTCTAAGCCCTATGGAAAACACTACGAAGGTTTCTCAAAAAATGAAACCCGGAGTTACCTTATGACCGAACGATTCCAATTCTAGACATACATCCACAAGAAGTAAAGACAGGGACTCAAACAGATCTCTGTACAGCCATGTTCACAGTAGTGTTATTCACAACAGCTAAAAGTTGGAAATAATCCAAATGCTCACCAACAGATGAATGGACGAACAGGTATGGAATATACACACAATGGAGTATTATTCAGCCTTAAAAGAAATGAATTTCTGATACATGCTACAAGATGGATGAACCTTGAAAACACTAAGTAAAATAAGCCACACACACACATACACACACACACACACAATTCTGATTCCACTTCTATGAGGTCCCTAGAATAGTCAAATTCATAGAGACAGAAAGTGGAGTGGTGATTACCAAGGGCTGAGGGAAGGGGTAAATGGAGAGCTGCTGTTTAATGGGTAGAGACAGATTCAGTCTGGGATGATGAAAACATTCTGGAGACGTATAGTGGTGATGGTTGTACAACAATGTGATTGATTACTAATGCCACTGAACTATGTACTTAAAAACAGCTCATGATAAATGTTGCTATGTATACTTTCTATATGTATATTTTTAAAAAGTTAGGTCTGCTACATAGTAAGTGCTCAATGAATGTTAACTATCCTTAGTGCTTTTAAAAGAGTACAGCAGAGAAAATTGTTTATGGCCAGTAGATTATAAATGGAGGCATGAAGGTGCCACCTGAGGTAGGATTTAATATGGATAAGATGGATAGCAGTTATAGTACTGATAAATATCAGTATTTTGTGAATCAAAAATTAGATGTTAAGTGACAGGGGCTTGTAAATCCTTCTGCCAAAATTAAAAATGATAAATTGACAGCTCTTGTGCTAGGCATGGGGGTTATATTGATAAAGATATAAAACCTTCTCTCAAAGAGCTCATAATCCAGTGAAGGAGTCTAAAACACAAACAGATAAGCATGGAAAATTAATATGTGCAAGGGTCAAACAAAGCCTCTTTCCATCTAAATCTATTTTACTGGATAGTTTGCAGTAGCTGGTATTATACTTAAAAATCTATAAAGAACTCTGGTTACATTTTACTTCTCATCCTTGTGCGGAAGCCATGCTCATCTTCTCTGTACCCTCCCAATTCTGGCATATACTGGCATATACATATACTGACAAAGCAAGCATTCTGGTTAGATGATCTCCTTTTCCCACCTATTCTATTTTTCATGAAGTCCACCAACATACTTCTTTCCACTTATTTCTCTCTTCTACTGAAAATCCAAGTATGCCTTTCAATCTCACTTTTTTAGTTTCTTCCACTCAGCAAAATCTTTGAAATCACATTGAAAAACAAAACAATAAATTAAGTTACAACATATAAAACTGCTGATGAATTCAAATAGTTTTTGACCTACAAAAGCAGCGATTCCACATGGTTCCCCATTATGTAACACCAAAGTCCTTAAGATTTTTAAATCTGAATTTTTATATATTTAGATATTAAGTACAATAGCAGTAGTAAGATTTCGTATTGGCAGGTAAACTGTTGATTTCCAACTTATAAAATCTGAGAGCTGTTTTTTATACCTAAAGCCCAACAGCCAATCTGATCTAAAGCCAGTCAACCTTTCTGTCACTGTCGGTTACTTATTTTAAGTTTCATTTTTATTTGAAACCTACCTTGGAATCTTCACCCTGAGTTTTTAAGATTCCAAATATTGTTAACTAGACAGGAGGTGATTAACATTTAATGGCCAACTTTCACCTGAGTGACCTATCATACAACAAATATACTACAAACAAAAAGGAGGAGACAACTGACACACAAAACATGGGTCAATCTCAAAAATATGTGAGGTGGAAGAAAGTACGTATTATAGTATTCCATTTATATGAATTCTGAAAAAGATACACATCTAATTAACAGCAACAAAAACCGGATCTTGGTTGCCTAGAGAAATTGGTAAAAGGGGTATATGAGAATTTTGGGGGGTGATGGAAATGTTCTCTATCTTGATCACGGTGACAACTTCATCGGCTGGGGTCTAAGTTGGTCAAAATCAAATGAAACGTACACTTAAAATGGGTGCATTTTATTTTATATAAACAGTACCTCAATAAAGATGATTTACATAAAAGAAAATGACAGTATATTTTTAATTTTAATTAAAATCTACCTTTAATTAACAAGTGAAAGATGAATGCTTTTAAAAACTTAACATATTGTGGATAAAGCTGAAGTTTTCTTTGACCACCCTCTCAATCCTGGTTTTCATTCCATATCTCTCCCATCTATACCTCCTCCCACAAATAATTACTGTTATGAGATTGGTATTGGTCCTTCTGAAGCTTTAAAAATATATTTACATACATACATGGTCACAGAAAATGTACAGTATTATATTGTACGTAAATATAACTTGTATATATTTTTCTGCAGTTTGCTATTTTCACTTAGCATTATGTTTCTGAGATCTATCCATGTTATTATAAAGTTTATCTCTTTTAAATCCAATATAGTAATCTACCACATGACTATACCATTTTTTATTTAACGAGGCCATTCCCCTTCTGACAGATATTTAGGTGGTTTTTTCCCTACTATATTTCACCAGTGCAGTGGTTAAGTCGTAGTTACTGAGGTGGCCACAGGGATTACAGATTGTGGTTCCAAGGGGATGTTAACCTTAGCTATAAGGTTTCATTTTTAAAAATGAGAATGTGTTCGTGTATTATTTATACAGTTTAAGTACTGACTTTAAAGAATTTTCTGATACATAAATTATCACAAAGAATGAAACAAAATCTGTAATAGGAAGCAATCGTCTATTAAAATATAAGCAAAACAAAGTTAAAGGACATAATAGTATACTCATGGTTTGAAACATAAGTAGTTACTGAAAATTAATGATCTGAGCACTAAACAAGTCATATAAACATTCTCCTACTCAAAGAAATTGTAATTAAAATGCTGTCATGCTGGTTATCATGACATAAGCATAATTAATACATGCACCAATACCTCATTATATTTTTTGCTTTCTCCTTTTATGACTATGATGTCTTTCCCCATCCCTGAAATGACAGGAGTAGAAAAAAAGGTATTACAAATGATGGACATCTTAGTATCAGAATTTTAAAATAGTAATTCACTAGTAGTATACTTCAGAACAAGTTAAAAGATACAGTCAGAACTAAAGAATACTTTTTTTAACTAAGTAAGCTCTACCCTCATTGGGGGGTTTGAAATCATGAGCCTGGAATCGAGAGTCACATGCTCTGCCAACTAAGACAAACGGATACACTAAACAGTAATTTCTTTTAAGAGTAAATATGGAAAATGAATCATTAAAACTAAAGGACAAAATGGACATGGGGATAAGCAAAATGAGAAATTTTTTTAAACTGCATTTTAGAGTTCTGCTTTAAAACTGACTTTGAATATATATATACATACATACGTATGAGGACCAGAGAATTTATTCCAAATAAAATACTGAAGTCATAAAATCATAGACGGAATTCAAAAATTGTCTGATATCCTTACGCTGGTTGCTATCAAGTCCATGCAATTCATTAAGATCAACCCTGTACTTTTGAGAAGTATTTCCTACTAATACTACTTAAACTTTAAATATATCCTCTCTAAAAGCAGATTATTTCATGTTTACATTTGAAGCTAATATATTTAAGTCAATAAAAACTGTTCAGAGATGCCAAAAATTACTTCAATGGAAGAAGCATTAACAAACCAGAAAGTAGTAAAAGAGCGTAGTAACTCTGATAATTAAGTTAATTTGTACATAATTATTACAAAATATCATTCATTATATGAATCAAAGGGATTACTAAGGAAATATTTCATTTTTATAAGAGGACTAAATCACAGCCAGCTTTAAACCTACGAACTGAAGGACAGTAACATGAACAAAATTATTAAATCAATAAGCATTACTAATTCCTGATCACCAGCAGCCCTGGAGAGGGACAAGATACCATTTGAGAAGCTATTATTAGACAAATACTGTGCGTATACTACTAAATCAGACGTGGACTTGCCTTCAAGGAGCTCAGTCTACTAGGGAGAGTAATAACTTAAGTTCAATAAAAAATACATGGTAGGCGGAATGCTGACAAAATCGGAAAGATCAGCTCTGCCTCAATGAGTGATAAGAGGTTTCATGGAAATGACTAAGCTGGGTCTTAAAAGACCAAGCAGGCTTTAAAAATAAAAATTAGGCAACAGAGCCTGACACAGAGAGGCATAAATGTGGCACAGTACAGATGAGAAACTGTTTAAGCAATTCAGGCTAGCTAAAGCATAATTCAGTATTTCATGGGGTAGTGGCAAAAACAAGGATGGGTAGCCAAAAGCCCTGATGCTGGTGGTCTTGGGAGCCATTCTAAACAATGTGGATTTTGCCCCTGAAGAGTTGTAAGAGTGAAAATTCACTCAGGCAGTAAAGTAGGGATGACTCCACATGGGACAAGGTTACAAATGGTTAGAACAATTACGAAAACTATTATTTCCCAGGTGGACAGCAGTAAGGAGGTGCATGTAAAGGTATCTTCAGGTAGAATTGATGGCAATGAGGAACTAACCAGATGGCAGGAATAAAAAGGGAGCAACTAAAATAACTCCATGATTTCTGGCTTAGGTGAACAGACGATGTCTGTCCCATTAAACAGAATAGGGAATGCTGGGAAAAGAGGGTCAGTACGAGAAAAAGTTCTGACTAACATTGAGATCCATGCAGATGCCTGTAAGCAGCTGGACTACTGGAATAGATTGCAAGTGATATAAATTTATTATTTTACCATTAGTTCCTAACTTTCCAGCTGTCAAAATTTTATCAGCGATATTAACAAGGACAAAATTAACTTCATATTAAAGTTTGGATCTTCTCTCTGACCCTAAAGACCCTTTAACTCAGGAATTAGCAGGAGAAAGAAATGACAAGAAAAAGGAGGAAGGAGCAGAAAAAAGAGATCTAGGCAAACACCTCATTTATAGAGTTAACTTCCTACCTACCTTCCTACCTCGACATTATTTCCCTATGTCCTTGCTAGGAAATAAGGAGTAAAAGAGGGAAACCCATATTGAATCAGGCATATAGAGAACTATGCCACCAGAGCTATGGTTACTTGCACTAAAATCAAATGATAAGAATTCTCACAAACACCTTACTCTCCTTACTGTAATTTACTCTTACAAGTCATTTTTTCAACGTTGTCTACAACAAAAGGATCGATTTACCTTTCAAGGGTAAACAATTCAACATCGGATGATGCAGTGTTAAGACTTACCTGTCCTTCCTTCTTCTAGAGTCCCAGTTTTTATCCTTATCTTTATTTCTTTTCCGTTTATGTGGGCTCCTACTCCGATCCTTTCTATGTCGTGAATACTCAGCATCGAGATAACTTCCACCAGACTGCCGGGAATCTACTGAAGCTGATCGTCTTTCTTCATTCTTTTCAGCATCATCCTCTGCTCTTTGCTCTTCTTGCCAATGACTGCTGAGTTCTTCCATGTGCACATTTATGACATCCCGTATCACCTCGGGGGAGAGAAGCACCCAATTTCAGATAAGAAAGATTTTTCAAAAAATTATACAAAGCTAAAAAAATCACTGTTAACAATCAGAATGGACTATGGGACATAAGCAGTTTAGAGAACATAAAAAAGTCAATGGTCAAATTGGAATATGAATGGTAGATAAAAGTACTGTAATTATTGATAAACTCACTGGTTGACCACCATATTATGATTATGTTAGGAAAACTATCCCTGTTCTTAAGAAGTATATACTAGGGGCGCCTGGGTGGCTCAGTGGGTTAAAGCCTCTGCCTTCGGCTCAGGTCATGATCCCAGGGCCCTGGGATCAAGCCCCATATCAGGCTCTCTGCTCAGTAGGAAGCCTGCTTTCCACAACCCGCCTCGCCTGCCTCTCTGCCTACCAGTGATCTCTGTCAAATAAATAAACAAAACCTTTAAAAAAAAAAAAAAAAGGAAGTACATACTAAGTATTTAGTGACAAAAAGATCACGGGGTAACTTCCTCTCAAATAGTTTAGAAAAAAAATAATGTACAGTTAGAGATCAAAAGAGAAAAAACGTACAGACAGAGTACAAATGACAAGCAAATGGGACAAAATGTTAACAATGGGTGATCTGGGTAACGGATATTCAGGAGTTCTTTATACTATTTTTATTTTTGCAACTTATTTGTATATTTGATATTATTTACAATTAAATTTTTTTTTAATTTTATAATTAAGTCAAGATGACCAACAAAATACAAAACATCTCCGTCACTTCACAGATACTTTCCTAACAGACTATATAAACCCCTAACTTCTCAGAATGACTTGAAAGTTTTTTCTTTCCTATTTATCCATGCAAACAACAAGCATAGGGCTGGTCACCTGGAGCACAGACGAAACTAAAATAGCTTACACTTCCCTCATGCCTACTGAGGAAGTGTTTTAAGAAGGTACGGGGGAGGGGCGCCTCGGTGACTCAGTGGGTTAAAGCCTCTGCCTTGGGCTCAGGTCATGATCCTAGGGTCCTGGGATGGAGCCCCGCGTCGGGCTCTCTGCTTGGCAGGGAGCCTGCTTCCCCCTCTCTCTCTCTGCCTGCTTGTGACCTCTGTCAAATGAATAAATAAAATCTTAAAAAAAAAAAAAAAAAAAGGTACAGGGGATAACTGAATTTAAATTTAAAAAGGGGCCGGGGGACGCTGGGTAGCTTAGTCAGTTAAGCATCTGCCTTCAGTCAGGTCATGATCCCAGGGTCCTGGGATTGAGTCCTGCATCAGGGTCCCTGCTCAGTGGGGAGCTGGCTTCTCCTTCTACCCCTTCCTCACCCCCACCCCCAGTCGTGATCTCTCGCAGACATACAGACACAGACAGACAGAAGGTACAGGGGACAATGGGCAATCTCAAAGACACAAACTATATAGTCACTATATAATGACTGAGTTTCTCCCCACTTTAAAGAAACTTTCAATGGCTCCCAAAGTAAAATGGAACAATGTCCAAAATCCTTAATAGAGCCTCTGAAGCCTTTCATGATTTTACTACATCACGTAATTGAAACCAGCCTTATCTCTTACTGCAATAGCTGAGAAACCCTAAGCTCTAGGCACCTTGGATTACTGATGGGTCTCTGGAAAACTCCTGCTCTTTTATATGTTTTTAGGAACACTAGCCCTTTGACCTAGAATATCCTTACCCACGGGTTCCCCTCCTCTACCATACTCTCTTGTGAAAATCTAAGACATGTAACGTGAGTCACACACACACACCTAAATTCCCACTCCCAGCTCTAGCACTTCTAGAGTAGCCCAACATGACTCCAGACTCGTAGTAGCTCTACATGAGCTCCACGAGGCCCGAATGTTACTGGATAGTTTCCAGGCTCACCACACAGGAAAGAGCCCATGAACAGACATGTTTTACCATTCCTGCTTCTCCCTTTCCTTCGACTGCTATCTCATGAAGCTGGTATACCAGCTTATTTTCAGAAAACATATAAAGATGGTATACCAATCTTATATTTTAAAAAAAGAATTGCTATTTTCTCCCACATACTTTGATCTCATTTTATTTTATCACTTAATGCAATCTGTATTTTGAAAGAAGTTTCACTTGTTAAACTATACGAAGTTTCTGCTGGGTGGGGGCTGTGTGCCATTTATCTTTACCTACCCAATAGCAGTGTTATGCATAGTGAGTACAGGCAGCAATAATTCTTTTTTCTAAAATCTAACAAAGTTTAGGTTCTAATCCAAAGCAAACAAAAACTTTAGATGATATGAATGAAACTAGAAGGAGGTAAAATGTTGACAAAGCCATGACCAGAAATATGATAAATCACTGAAAGATTTATAAACACTGAAGTTTTTACAGATGAAAGGTATTTCGCATCTGCTTCCAAAATTATCAGTGTGGAGGAAGGAGAGAATGGGAGGTAGTGAGTGAGAATATAAATAAAATGACAAAGTCATATGTTGATAATTGTTGAGGCTGAGTGACAGGGACAAAAGGGTTCATAAGACTATTCCAGTCACTTTAGTATATGTTTGAGTATTTCCATAACATAAAGTTAATATACAATTATGAAGAACACTAGTAACAACATTTACACTTGATTACAAGGTAATGAGACTGGAGAAGAAACACTGATGAACCACCAAGTACTTGAGGGACTTTAAGAATACTGAGGCTGTATGACATGGTCCCAGACCGCCACTGGAAGAGATAAGCCTAGAACATGTATTTTAATTGTAAAAAGAACAGCAGATTTAAATACCAAGCTATGTGGTACAGAGAGCATAACAGCAATCAACCAGGGAAGGAGCACCTCACGGTAACAGTGGACCTTAAACTTATCGAGATTTAAAAGAGCAACAACAAAGAGCATTTCAGGTGAGCAAACAACTTGTTATCCTGACACAAAGATAGGAGTAAATGTATGTAATCAGATATAGTTTAATAGACATTCCTGACTAGAGCAAAAGAAAATATTCAGTAAAATGAGGCCAGATTATGGACAGTCTTAGAAATCATAGAAAGAAGTAAGAAATAATGTGGTAAGAATTTAGAGATTCAGTGAGGAAATTATTTGTAGAGTCTAGGTAAGTAAGTCATGTACCAAAAAATTCACCAGCTATATCCACTGAAGGAACTCTGAAAATAAGTCTAGATATATATCAAGAGATTAAAGTATAAATAATTTATGCCAGACATTTTTTTTTAAAGATTTTATTTAGTTATTTATTTGACAGAGATCACAAGTAGTCAGAGAGGCAGGCAGAGAGAGAGAGAGGAAGCAGGCTCACCGCTGAGCAGAGAGCCCGATGTGGGGCCCGATCCCAGGACCCTGAGATCATGACCTGAGCCGAAAGCAGAGGCTTTAACCCACTGAGCCACCCAGGCGCCCCTATGCCAGACATTTTTTAAGCCTAAATACTTAACAGAGTACACAAAAGCATGCTAAAATTTCTGTAAGGAAAACAGAAAGGCTATTTGTTGACCAATTTCTGTGTCCACATGCATTCTCAATCAATTCGTATAACAACCCTACAAAGTCTACATAAAATGTTTAAAATGAAAATTATTGACACTTAAAATGTTCAAATAAGCTATTCAAGCCAAACAGGCAATGATAAACAGCAGGATCAAAACTCTAACACAGGTCTAAAGCCAAAATCTACGCTTTTATCGTGACATGCTACTTTCTCAAAAGTTGGTATGGTTTTAAGATTGTACAGCCTCTTCACGTAAGATTTTTGTACCCTGAAAAGCCTTTGCCTGGCACAGTGGATCTGAAAGGAATGGAGCAAATACAAATCAGGTGTGGCCGCCTTGAAGATACCTTCTTTCAGATAACCTCTAAGGAACTGCGGAAACCCACAGAGCAGACTTACATAACTATCTAAAGTAAATTTCTGTTCTCAACAAAGCTCTAAAAGAGTATATAAAACTTACCTCCGTATATGATTTCTTGGTTATGTGAACATTCTTAGCTCTATAGGACTGGCGTCTTCTTTTATAATCTCTCACTTCTGCCAGGATTTCAAGGTAAGATTTTGGACTTTTTCGACTATTATCTAAAAAGAATAAAATAAATTACATCCTTGGAAGCTTTTAAATTCTTATGAATTAGCAGGAAGAAAGACCACAATAATCCCATACTTCAACATGTTTCCATGCATCTAAAAACATCTTAAAAATTTCCATATTATAGAAATAGGCTGTTTTATATCATTCCTTTTCTCTAGCCATTAGTTGAAGCTATGACTGTTAAAGTACAAAGATTAAAGGACAAGAACAGTTGTAACAATTTTATAGAAGGAAGGTGCGCTTAATGTAAAAGTCAGAGAGCAAAATTTCACACACTGAGTAAACATCTTAACATATATGTGAATATCAGATAATGCAAAACCATCCTATTTCTATTCAAAGTGGTCTGACAACTAAATCCTAGTAACACACAAAGAATGAAATGACAATTAAGAAATATAAAACATGGTATTCATCTCAAACCTTGATTGACTTTGGCAGCCAAGTCTACAAAGAGATCACTGTCATTTTCAATAATCTGTGAATCAGAGCGCTTTTTCTTTGTCTCCTCCACTACAAAATCATAGAGGGCAAGACGATCGGCTTGGGTCAGATCACAAACACACCGTTTGTGATTCAGAGGAACTTCAACAGGTAACGAAGAATAAATCCCTAAAGTAAAAATAAAACCACAAGAATAAACAAATACATGAAGCATGAATACGTTATGGACTTAAATCTACTCCTTATCTTTAAACATGCGCTGTAATAATGCAACATTAACACAACTGTTTTCATAGTAATCCCTTAATATACAAAATATCCATCTACGTGATAAATGGTAAATAGTGACTTTATCCTCAATGCTATATCCACAGAAAAGATGTATGTGGATTCTTTGCTATTCTCTTTAACAATGTTAGGACAGATCCCATGAAGGCAGGCAGTAATAACCATGAGATAATTTGCTCATAAAACTTCCTGGGTAACAATTTTAGAAGGCTACCAATACTATAAAAGCAGATATTAACTTTCTTTCTGTTTATATGCTTTTCCCCATAAAAGGCGAGAGAAAAAAATGTAGTACACATTATAGTCCTTCTGAAAATAAAATATGGAAGTATGAAAAATATGTTAAAAATGTCTTTTTATATGAGGCATCATGTTAGGTGTTCCATATTCAAAATATATCCCAACTGTACAATGATTCAGAGTTAGGGATCAAAACACAATTACTTAAGTAGCAGAAATCCCAAACTTCCCCAGACCAGAGAATGACAGATTAAACTAAAACCAAACTTTTAATTTTCTAAAGAAGCATATTGGCATAACCAAATTCATTTAAAAAAGTTAACAGGAGTGCCCCCCCAATAGTCACAGAACTTCCTAAAATCTGTTCATTAATGAAAGAAAGTAAATACAATACCTTGATATGATGTATTAAACATTGAAGAAAATTTTTGTTTTGAGATTCAAATTTTCTCAAAGAAATAAAAAAATTATAACTGTAAATAAAGCAATTGTTTTAAAACAATTCTTTCTAGCCTTCATTATTCACTGATGGAAACAACAAACAGGAGCTACTAATGTTTCCTAAGTTACCCTAAAGTAATAACTCTGGTTCATAGAACAAGGTAAGATCAGTAGCTCTTCCCAGTACTTTTATTTGATAAAGTCTAACCTCATTGACTTCCTAAGTAAAGAGTCCAAAGAAAAATTAAAATAAGAGCAAACTATGAACTAAGAACTACAACACACAAAAAAGAGATGACTTTACATATGTCTACAAATTAAGAGGAGTGCTACATTGAATATGAGTTTGTGAATAGCCAGGGATAACAATACATGGTCATTTGTATTAGTCAAAGGGTTCTGAATTAGTGGAGAAGGGTTTCCTTTCAAGTTGATCAATTTCACTCTAATGCTGGTAGACACTTGGAAAAGCCTTTTTATGCAGGTAAGTTTTAAAACATTTAACTTTGTCCTATAAAACTGACTTAGCTTTGATAAGCCTAATTCCTTTGAATATAGGCTATAAAAAGCTGGGAGAAAAATATAAAGATTAGAAAATACTGATATATTATAAACAAGCTCCACATAAACCTTTGCCTGTTACTTTTAGACAAAGAAATATAATTTCCTCCTTAAAATATTCTGGAGTCGTCTTTATTCATCTGAAATTTCTGTATGGTGAAGACTAATACTTAAATTCCTTGAAATTCAACTAAAATTCCAAAGATTATAATATTGTGACAGTGGTTAAGATAAAGTTTAGAAATTTGAGTGATACTTTTAAAAGGATATCATTTGCAAAAAGGATACTGCATATCTTTAAATAAGGAGTATATTCAGGTTCCTAATTCCTCTTTATACTCACCCCAATTACTGAAAAAGAAAAAGTACAGGAAAAGTTAAACAACAGACTGCATTCAAATCATTGAGAACATATAGATATTTCTGACAAAAAAAAAAAAGGAAAACACAAATAAGTTTACATTTCCATAAAAAGTAAATTTTCAAATATAAGCTTCTATATGATTTAGAAGTATATCTGAATGTGCTGTAACCATATTAAATTCTATGATCCTCTTTTTTTTTGTAGTAGCTTTTTTTAAATTGTGGTAAATACACATTACATACAATGTACCATTTAAGCATTTTTAAGTGTACAGCTTAGTGGCATTAAATACATTACACTGTTTTGCAACCATCACCTCTATCCATCTCCAGAACTTTTCATCACCCAAACTGAAACTCTAATCTAGCTTTTTAGTTACCTTTGCCACGACAGAGCATCTTAAACATATGACATATAATACTAAATATTCATAAAAAGAACTGGTTCAAAGCTACAAATTCAGAATTTTACAGAGAATTCATACAGAGTCAATTTCCAAATATCAAAGAAAAAGAAATAAGGCCCACAGAAGTAAAATGACTTGCCCAAGTCTCACAAGTAGTAGGAACAAATTAGGCCTAATCAGTTACTTGGGTCTCTTGAGGGTTCTTTTAGTATAATGCACTGATCTTCAAATCATGGCCATGATTCAAATATATGTCATGAAACTGAAGTACAGCAAAAAATAATGAAGGAAAAAGGTAAACCACTAAATATAAAATGACTGTTTATGATTAAAATTAGCATCCTGGTTATAAAATTAACAAAGGTAATTATATCTGAAAATAAGTAAGTAGATCTAATGGTTGTTTCAAGCTTTCACAAAGGTAAATGAACTTAGAATTCTATACACTGGTGGAGACCTAATATGAGTGATAAAATGGAAACAAATATAACTCATCAAAAGACATATAATTTAGTATGTGACAAACAAATATTAATTAAATGGGAAAATGTAAAATTGCTCATATTAGTCATTCTTCCTTCAAAGTAAATAAATTAGCAAGATATTAGGGGATTCTTGTTCTTGGCTATTAGATTTTAAAATCTCTTAACACACAAGTGGGCCACAAAAATAAGGTCTACTAAGAAACAGTAGAACTCTATACAATATGAAAAAAAGTTTTAAAAAGAGGATCATATCATATAATAAAATTCTTAAGTTAAATCTTAATTTAAGAGAGTGCCAAAACAAAAATTCCTCTTAACTTTCTACTGAAGGGACTACTTATTCAGAGTAATTCTTTGCTTTTGTAAAGAACTAAACTCAAGGTCCAAATCTACCTTATTACTTAGTCATATAAATAAAAAAATTTGAGAACATTCTCTAAATTACACACATACATAAAATTCTCAGCCATTTCATTATCTTAAAAATCACTTTCTGTACATTAATGTGCTTAGAAATTAAATTGCTTACACATAAGCAGCCAATTATTAGAGCCCGGGCTAGTTTAGCATTCATTATTTCCATTACCCTAAACAATACTACAAGATAGTTTCACACCAGAGACAAGGACACAAAACCTCAAAAAAGCTGTCATTTGTACCAGGCCAAGAAACTAGTTTCTTTAAAGCAGGCTTACACAAACCAGAATAAACAAAGAACAGTGCTAATAATAGCAAGCAGTGAGTAGGTACAGATTTAAAGTTTGTGGTATTCTTCTACTTAATTATAACAGACATAATAAATAATGAATATATTTGAGCAGTGATTCCTAGTCCATAAATTTCACTTAAATGCAATTTCTATCAGAAAACAGAATAACTCAGTTGAGAGTATGTACCAAATCCAAAACTTGGTTCTCAATCCAGCGCAGCCATTAGCAAGCCTTGCTATCATCTAGCAAAGGAGTGTTAACCTATTTCTTTACCTAATAGGAGGGGAAAATAGTTGTCCAGCCCATGTAAGTGTGTTATGAAAGAGAAATGAATACATGAAAGAACTATAAAGAATCTCTTTTAAAAAAAACTAAAGTATCAATAGTCTTCAGAATAAACACACAAGAACCTTATTATTCCTCTCAGACAAGGTGTGTTTCTTCAACAAAGACACTGGATTAGATGATCTCCCAGTTCTCTTTCAACTCCAAAATACATCTAGTAAATCTATCTAACTAGTTAGATCAAAAAAGGCCTCGAACTATTAACCCCTCCAAAAAACAATAGCAAAAATCTTCTACATTTTTCTGGCTCATTAACTAAACAGGAGTAGGGGGCAGAACAATAATAGGAGCCCAAAAAAGGACTGACTGATCACAGCTCAGTAATCTTTTCAAATAAGAGCCAAATGTCTCCCTCAAAGAAAGGAAAACAACAACAACAACCACCACCCAGAATTTAGCACAAAGTACATAAAAATGGGACCTTTAAAACAGGAAATACAGGAAAGATTATTCTGTCTGTGGTATGGAACCACTATAATGTACACTAAAGGTAAGAGAGCGCCTCCTGAAGCCACAGTAGAACTTGGGAAAAGATGAAGTCCAGATACTGGTTTAGAACAATGGGTAAAGACTGAATTTCAACAAGGGAGAAACAAATCCTAACTCTGCACTAATTTAATGAATAGAATTCAGCTAGAAAGAATAATGAGAGGGGGAAAAAAAGGTAAGATGTCCAGAGAAAGCTACCTTCAGAAGGTTCAAGGACAACTCAGAAATCCTTGTAAGAAAAGCAAAGTCATGCTTTGGCTACATGTTATCCCCAGGTTCAGAAATCTATTAACACTATTCACTCATCTATTAAATATATTAACTCTATTAGTTAATAAATCTATTAACGCTATTAACATTCCAATGGATTGTTTTTTCTTTTCATTTCCTAAAAGCTCATACTTAAAAAAAATTCTAACCTGTTCTTTGCTGAAGTTAAGTCCCAGGCAGAAACTCTTAACCCAGCTCCGAAGCTGTGTATGAAGGGATCCACAAACTTTCTGACACTCTATGTAAAACTCTGTGTTTGGGCTTTATTTGAAGGGCCAGCTGTGAAGACGGCTCTCTTTTAGCATAAGCCTGTCCTTTTACACTGCATTTCAACATTCTTATATTTAACAAGGGACTAACTCTCAAGAGAGAGAGCAAATCTCAGGGTAAGACGCTCTCAATGCAATTTAGTTACCTAATAATCAAAATAAAAATTATCTACAAGGTAATCTCACCTATCAGGTGATTCCAAAGCATGAATCCCTAGCTAAGACACTAGCTAAAGCTGCTCAAATACTTTGCTGTATTTGAGCAGAAAATATCTACCCAATGAAGCTGACACTAAACACACTGACCTAATATTAAATATAAAATTTAACTTTCCCCATACAACTGTTTCCACAAGATTTTTCTTAAAAATCAGTAACATTTGCTTATGGGACAAAAATAGTTCAAATCATTAATTAGCTCAAACTATGATGCCACTTACTTTGATTATAACCATCACCATCTTTTCCAACTGCAGTTCTAGCTTGTTTAATTATCTGGAATTGTGAGTCCTTATCTGTCAAAAAAGCACCCATAAACACAGTATGAATCATCAGTGTCCACAATCATATTATTAACTTGTTTCCAATCCAAGCTCTTTGCGCACACTGGCAAATCGCCAGAATCTGGAAAGTGAAAAAACCTACACCTGCTGCCTAGGTAATCTGAAGGCAGAATTTTTTCAGATCGAGCCAGAACCCAGTAAGTAACTAGATGGCAGGCAGTCTAGAAAACATTACCATCAGGCATTCTGCAGTAGCTGCTGCAAATTTCAGCAACCAGTAACAGCTACCATTGTTTGAACCCTGCTAAGTGCCAGGAACTATTCTAAGCATTTTACGTATACTACAACATTTAATCAGTGCAAAGGTGCATTATCATCATCCCGTTTCATGGAGAAATTCAGGCAACAAAAAGGTGTAATTACTTGCTGAAAGTTGCAAATCTACTAGTGATAAAACCAGGAGTTGAATCAGGGCATTCGATTCTGGAGTCTGGAATTTTAACCTCCGCACCTGCTGTGAACACTTGGAACACATTTCCAGCCTCAGTCTGCAAACTGTGTTGTGTGGCCAGATTTTTGTTATATCCAAGAAGGAAGGTATGTGTCTTATTGCACAAAGCTTTGAAGGGTTTTCACTGCCGATTACTATAAACCTGGTCTCTAAACTCCAGATTAAGCAAACTAGTTTCACTATACATTAATTAATCTTACATTCTCTTAAAGCATGAAATGTCCTTCTTAATCACAAGCATACTTATAGAGTCCATTCTTCTGATAATTCAAAAATGAAATATCAATGCCTATACTATCTTTAATATAATCTATTAAATTAATACTTACTCAAAGTAATTGAAGGTATCTTCACATTCTCATAGAAAAAATCAGAATTATACATTTGATCCTAAACAGTAAAAACAAAGAAGTTAGTATTTGTAACCAATAACTGCCTATTTTAAGATTTGACATGAACAAACAAGAGATTACTATCATTTCAGTATTTCTTACAAAAATTAGCAGTTAGGCAAATACCATTCTACCCCACAAGTGACTAGTATTTATGTCAGAACACTTCACACTATACCCACCAAATCTTCTGAATTTATTCATGCATGAATTACATGACATATACATAATAAATATATGGTACCTCCTCTTCTTTGGTATAGCCCAGTTTCCTCAATCTACAAGACACCATGTGCTTTGCTAAAGATGATTTAGGCATGTGATGATTGGAATCATAGGGACATATCACAACTTCATCCTATAAAAAAGAAAGAGAAGCAAAGAAACATTTTTTTTTAATATTTATTGGAAAGAAAGAGAGAGAGAGAGAGAGAGAGAAAGACAGCATGTGTGTGGGGCAGAGGGAGAGAACCTCAAGTGAACTCCCTGCTGAGCACTGAACCCAGGTGGGGCTGGATCCCACGACCCATGAGATCCTAACCTGAAGCGAAACCAAGACTTGGACACTTAACCAACTGAGCCACCCAGGCACCCCATGGGAATACTATAGTCAAATGATTAAATCATTAAATGTTTACTACTTGCTCAAGTAATACTATCCATTTATCTCCTCTTCTAGGGGCCTCTTTCCCAACCCCGGTGTGTGTGTGTGATATATTTTAAAAAACAAAAAACAAAAAAAATTTCCCTCAATCTCTCTCTCCTTTATAGCCCCCTCTCCCTCTCCAAAGCCCAACTTTAAAAGATTTGTTTACAAACTACCAGTTAGTAGGTCACTAACAATCTTCTTGCTAAAGAAGATGTGTCAAAGCACAGGTCAGACTCTTTAAAATATTTGAACTCTTTGAAGGTCACAATCCAATTGGCCATTTCTGTCATCCAGATAGTCTTCATGTTCTACCTCTCTAGTTCTTCTACTTGGTCTTCTCTAAAGATGTCTTCCTTGTTTTCCCTGTACCCCTTTAAATGTTGGCGTTTCATGTAAGTCAAACCAGTGACCTTTTGCCATTTGATATACACTTACTGGAAAATCTCATGGCTTTAAATTTCACTATAGAGTAATGGCTCCCGAAATCTAGATTTTTAGACCTTGTTTCTCTTTTAAGTATCTTATACTAAAAACACTAACAATTCAATGTAACAAAAATAAATTCATTACATTCCTGGTCTCCTGACCCCAAACCCATTCCTTTTATGTCTCCCAGTTTCCTCATGGAGAAAACCATCTCCTCTTCCTCGTCATTGATATCTAATCAATATCCATCCCTTTTCAGCCCTAAGTAACTCTGAAATCCCTCCACAAAATCCATCCTCACTGTTACTTCCCCACTTCAGGACATCAACATTGTTCTGGATTACAACAGCCATTGCCTAACTGCTCTGCTTCCAGACCTGTTGTCCTTCTCATTCTCCGCACTGTGGCTGCTCTGAATCCCAGGTCTGCCACTTACTGTATGAACTTGGTCAAGGTATTTTACCTTTCTTTGCCTCAGTTTCCTCATTTATAAAATGGGAAAAACTTTTCTTTTCTCACAGAGCTACTGTGAAGATTAAATAAACTATACATGGGTTTATACATTCAGAGCAATCAAACAGGGCCTGGCACATAGCAAGTGTTCCAATGTAAGCAATTACTAGTTTATTAAAAGACAAATATGATATCGTCTGGCTTAAGATACTTCCATGCTTCCCCACTGCCCTCATTTAAACAACAACAACAAAAAACCAGATTCTTTAATACGGCTGACACAGGACCTTTAAGATCTGGATCCTTGCCACCATCATTCTTCTCTACAGTCTATGCTTAGCTATCCTTAACCACCTTGGGTTTCCTGATCTGGTCACACCCTTTTCTCTGGACTTCCTACCATTGATGCTTTCTCTGTGCTTCCCTAGCTAATTCAGCACACTTTAATCAGCTCAGAATTCACTTTATCCAGGAAACCTCTACTGTCCTACCACAGCTATAATAAACAGCTATTCCACCCTTCATAGACTTTATCACATTGTAATGTAGGCTGATTTCTCTAGATTTCCCCTCACTATGACCACACAATAAGCTCTACGATAGAACCTGTGACTGCTCTTCGCTAAACTTCAGTATTAAAACCCTCTAGCAGAGGGGCGCCTGGGTGGCTGAGTGGGTTAAGGCCTCTGCCTTCGGCTTGGGTCGTGGTCTCAGGGTCCTGGGATTGGGCCCCGCATCGGGCTCTCTGCTCAGCCGGGAGCCTGCTTCCCCTTCTCTCTGCCTGCTTCTCTGCCTACTTGTGATCTCTGTCTGTCAAAATAAATAAATAAACTTTAAAAAAAAAAAAAAAACCCTCCAGCAGAAAAGTGAAGCTTCGTTAACTATGCAGACTATTCCAGGAACGATGGATGTCACCTACCACGATTTTTAAACTAGTCACTCTCTTGAATTTCAGACGTTAGTTCTGTAGCATTTAGATGTACACTCAGAGTTATTTGTCATAATTTTGGAATTTTACAAAGACGTTTTAGAGAGGCAGCATAGCAAGGAAACACAGAGATTCTCAGGAGCCAGAATGCCTGGGTTCAAAATCCCAACTGCTATTTACTAGCAGTGTGTCCTTGGACAAATTACCACTTCTCTGGGTTTGTTTTCTCATCTGTAAAACGTGGCTAACAGTACTCACAGGGTAATTATAACTATTAAACGAAGAAACTAGGGTATAGTAAGTGGCATAAGCAAAGTGCTATTTAAGTGTTAATCCAAGAAATTTCAGGTTACTACGATGCTGAGTAAACAGTGTTAAGTAAGAGCATGGAAGGCCCCACTCAACGGAATTCACAGCTTCAAACATCACTCTAAACAAATTTTAAAAATTTCCACGACGCCTTTAATACAATAAATGTGAACTGTCTGTGTATAAGTCAAACACGCCTTAGGTGTCTTTACGGAATCAGTAATGTAATTTAAACCTGGGAGAAATTATTACAGCGTGACGAACCCAGAAAGAGCATTAGAGATCGTGAATTATCCCAGACTGAAGCGCTTCTTCTCCTCCCACCCCAAAACACAAACAAACAATCAGGACTGTTGACTTTTATACACCTACCTACATTTTTTAAGGCAATTCTAATGTTCAAAAGAGTTGTTAGTCACCATCTCTTAGTGATACCCTCTAATAATCCTAGCATCGATGCTGTCCCTTCAGAAGTGCAGAATTTTAAGGCGGAAAACGGGGAAGTGAACTCCCAAGCTCTCCTGACACCAAATCTGGTGCAACTGCTGCATCCATGTGACACATGACAAAGCAAACGGGGCAACACCTCCGCTGGCGGCACTCTGAGGCCGATTCCCGTATTTTCTAGATAAACCCGAGACCTGCCACCCCACCTCACCCACCGCATTTCCACCCTCTCCTTGAACCGAAGTTCCGCAGGAGCGCCGCACCGGCGACCCTAGCGGAGCGCTCCGAAGGCGCCCACGCGCCCCACCTGAGGCCCGCAGGCGTCAAGGGCGCTCCAGGCCCGGTCCCGGGCGCCCACCACGGCTCTGCGGACCGGAGGGGCTCCCACGCGGATTCCTTCCCCCCACGCCAAGACACCGCAGGCTGAGGGCCACCAAAGGACCCGGGGCTCAAGCCCCCCTCACCTCTGCCGCCTCCTCCCCGGGGTCCAGCCGATCCAGGCTCCAGCCCAGGGACGCCGTCACCTCCTCCAGCCTCCGGCAGCAGCTCTCCACGAACTCGCTAAGCTCCTGCTGTAGCCGCCGTCGCTCCTCCACTGGGGGCGGCTCGCCCTCCATGGCCGTGCCCCACCCGCCAGATGGAAGCAGTCGAACTGCCGGCGCCGCGCGGGGGCCTCTGGGAATTGTGGGCGGGACCAGGTTGCCACGTGATTGCAACCGCCTATAGGGAGAGGCCCGGGAAGGGCGGAGCTGTCATTTTGAGCGGTGTTCCCAGGGGTCTTCCGGGTCTTCCAGGAGTTGTGGCTGGTGCAACTGCTAACCGGTGCTTTTGAGCCCGGGCTTCCCTGAACTGCATTCCCTCTCGCCCCCAGAACTTTTAAGAAATGGTTTACATCGCCCCTGCCTCAGCTGCCGCTAAGATGCTCGGTCCTTCCGATGAAGCTAGGTCACTTGCTTCAACTGAGATTAGGTCTTCATTTCAAACAGCGACAAGCACCGGCTTGCAGCAGCTCCCGCCGGGCGCTTTCCGCGCACCGTGGCCTCCACCTCGGAGCTCGCCTGCATCTCTTTGGCCCTCATGCTGCACGAGGATGAGGTGGCAGTCACGGAGGATAAGATCAATGCTCTCATTAAATGCTGAACCTTTCCGGCCAGGCTTCTTTGGAAAGGCCCTGGCCGCTGGTCGCATTGGGAGCCTCATCTCAAAGTAGGGGCTGGTGGACCTGCCCCAGCGGCTCACGCTGCACCAGCCAAGGTCCTGCCCTGTCCACCAGTGTCTGCTGCTACTGAGAAAAAAAAAACGGGAAGCAAAGAAAAAAGAACCCGAGGAGTCTCGTGATGACATGCGCTTTGGTCTTTTTGACTAAATGTCTTTAAACATGTTCAATAAAAAAGCTGAGCTTTACAAAAATAAAATGGTTTGTATCTACAGAAAAGTTTAAAGAGTATTTGTACGGCCATCCTCCAGCTCATTAATTGTTAACATTTGCCCACGTTTGCGTTCTCTCTCTCTCCACAAACACACAGCCCCACATATATTTTTCCAGAATTTGAAAGTCAGTTGCAGCTGCTTCAACCCCCAAATATGTCTGCATGCATCTCATAAGAATAAGGACATTGTCCTACATAACTGCCATACATTGTCAAATCTAAGAGAACTAATAGTTTCATATCATCCAATGTTCAGTTTATATTCAAATTTTCCCAGTTGTCCCCTGAATTCCTTTTATAGCCATTTCATTATGAGTTTTTTCAATCCATGAGCTGTAATGGGCGATTGTCTCTTTTAACCTAGAACATCTCTCCACCCTCTTTTTCAAATTAAGTCACTGAATTTTGTCAGGAGCTGCGGCCAGTTGTCTTGTAGAATGTTTCTCTTTCTGGACTTACAACATTTTCCCCCTTATGACTAGGTTTTGTTCAAGCATTTTTGCATGGAGATGTGTGTAACCTTATTATACCTCATACAGAACACATATCATAAATGTTCCTATTAGTAATGCTAAATTTGATCATTAGGTAAAGGTAGATGGTTACATCACTCCATCATAGGCCATTTCCCTCTGAGGGATGATACTTTGAGGCCATATGAATGTCCTGTCCCCAACAAACTCACAGAATCCTTCCGTGAACCTGTCATTATGTTAGGGGTCATACTTGATGATTCTCTGATACTGTCATGGCTTCTTTATTTGTTACAGGCTTCCCTACCATACATTCACTTTCTTGTTCACTATGGAATCAAAAGATTTTATTTTTTTAAAGATTTTGTGTATTTATTTGACAGAGAGAGGGAGAAAGCACAAGCAGGAGGAGCAGCGGGCAGAGGGAGAGGAAGAAGCAGGCTCCACACCCAGTAGGGAGCCCGATGCAGGGTTCCATCTCAGGACCCTGGGATAAAGACCCAAGCCAAAGGCAGATGCTTAACCAACTGAGCCACCCAGACACCTTTTGACCTTGACTAATTTTGATTTGCTTCACTACAGTGTTCCTCCACAGATGTATATGTATACATATACGTATATGTATGTGGGGTTCCCTGCTCAGTAAGAAGCCTCCTTCTCCCTCTCCCTCTACTGCTCCCCCTGCTTGTGCTCTTTTGTCAAATAAATCATTAAAAAAAATTAGCCAAGGTCAAGGATGTCCTCTCTTCGGGACACAGCCTATCTCACCTCAGAGCTTAATGACAACTTGGGCAACAGCCTGGGGGTATACTCTTTCAACCTGAAGAACTGCTCTACACTGATGCTTATTATTTTTTTTACTTTTTAAATATTTTATTTATTTGACAGAGAGAAAGAGAGCACAAGCAGGGGGAGTGGGAGAGGAGAAGCAGGCTCCCCACTGAGCAGGCAGCCCAAAGTAGGGCTCGATCCCAAGACCCTGGGACCATGACCTGAGCTGAAGGCAAATGATTAGCCAGTTGAGCCACCCAGGTGTCCCTTATTAATCTGTTTAATCACCATTTTTCCAGGGAGAACTTCTGACCCATTCTAGATTTGGCCCCTATTATAGGCTGAATTGTGTGCTATCCCCACCCCCATCCCAGTTCATACACTGGAGCCCTAACCTCCAGTGTGACTGTATTTGGACATAGGGACTATATAGAGGTAATTAAAGTTGAATGAGGTAATAAAGTTGGGGCTCTAATGTGATAAAACTGAAGTCCTTCTAAGACAAGGAAGACATACCAGAGCTCCTTCCCTGCCCCTTTACTGCCTACCACCCAGAAAGAGAGCTTTCACCAGCAACCAACCCAAGCACACCTCTACCTTGGACTTCTAGCCTCCGAAACTATGAGAAAATGCATTTAAGTCACATAGTCTGTGGCATCTTGTTGTGGCAGCCCAAGCTGACTGATACAGCCTCCTAGCTCTAGCCGGAAGATCTCCCTTCATTTTGCTCAACACAGCATTTACCACATATTTTCCCTCTCCCTTTAATATTATGAGGGCTATTTTTGCACCATGTGTTTCTACCATGGGATTCATAGGTTCTGGCATAATGTGTAGCACACAGAGCTTAATACTTACTGAATGAAGTTAATTACAAGTCCTCCAGCTTGGGAGGTGAGCAAGGAGAAGAAAAGGAGGTAAGACAGACAAGGAGGAAATGAATGCTGTTTTTCACACAAAGTCCCAAAGCCCCCAAGATTTTAAGTACTATCTTACATATGACCTTTTTTGTTCTTCACAATTAGCAACTCATTTGTTTTCCTATTTTCTCACCTATACTATAAAATGTTTGAGTCAAGCAGAGAAAGTAAATTATCATATGGTTTCACTTACTTGTGGAACACAAGGAATAACATGGAGAACATTAGGAGAAGGAAGGGAAAAGTGAATTGGGGGGAAAATCGGAGGAGGAGACGAACCATGAGAGACTGTGGACTCTGAGAAACAAACTGAGGGTTTTAGAAGGGGGGGGTGGGAGGATGGGTGAGCCTGGTAGTGGGTATTAAGGAGGGCATGTGTTGCATGGAGCACTGGGTGTTACAGGAAAACAATGAATCTTGGAACACTGCGTCAGAAACTAATGACATATTGTATGGTGACCAACATAACACAATAAAAAAAGTTTGAGTATATTAATACATACTGCTGATATATGAAAGTTGTCCCTCTGATTGCTTTATATGTGTCTCCTGTCCCCACCCAGACTGCAAATGTCTTGAAGTCAGGTGGCTTGTAAATTCTGTTGAATCCTCATAGTACCTAGCCTAATACTAGACGTAGTAAGTATTCAGGAAAGTCGTGTTGATTTAATGACAAATGTCTGAATTTCAAAAGTTTCTCTTTGATACAAAGAATAGGCTTATATCTCACTGTCCTTCAACAGAGAGTCAAGAACTCTTCAGGACTTGTTTTGATAGATTTGATGACAATTCTTTCCTCTTAGGGGACAAAATGAAACCCCCATGTATTTGGAAAATACCCGAATGGAATCTGAGCCACTTCATTTTATTAATGGAATTATGGTGACTTTTGCCCATGCTTCTTAGAACTTATTGTCCAGAATAAACAAAAACGGGGCATTGATCTGTGGCCTGACCTCTGTACACTGCCTGGCACACAACAGGCACAGGCACTTGAGAGATGTTGAATAAACTACAAAAGACCAGCTTCCAGCAAGAATTCAGAATTAAAAGTTTTTTTCTTTAGTCTTTTTTGTAATTTTTCTTTTAAAATTTTTATGTATTTATTTATTTGCCAGAGAAAAAGAGAGAGAGAGCATAAGTAGGCAGAGCGGCAGCCAGAGGGAGAGGCTCCCCACGGAGCAGGGAGCCAGATATGGGACTCGATCCCAGGACCCTAGGATCATGACCTGACCTGAAGGCAGCTGCTTAACCGACTGAGCCACCCAGGTGCCCTAATGGGTCTTTCTTAATAGGTATTTAGTAAACAGAAGGTTTTAGAGATAATTTAACGTAATTAACAGAAAGACTCTGATAAATACCCTGGGTGTACAGACATATGAAATCAAAACGCGAAAACTTCAAAAGTCTAAAAGTTTATTGCCAGAATAGCAAACTTCATAAAGACACCTTTTTAAAGTACATAGTAAATGACGAGCAAAATAAACAGAAAACTTTGGCCAAAGAGAAGCAAAGATTGCTGCTATCATGCACGTATAGTCAAATTAGTGCCAAACCAGACGGGTGCATTTAAGAGCACATAGGTTACACAATCCACAATCTAAAACTAAAGGAGACTTACTCCAAAATGTTTGGGTTTGCGGTGGAGTATTCTAGGGAGAAAGGGAGGGGTAATTTTCTCCTAATACAGAAAAATGGAAGCATTTAGATGAGAAACAGAATGAGGACTAAAATAACCATGATCAGCGTAATTTCATCTCCAAGAACAGAAATACGTACTATAGGCTAAAAGAGTACAAGCATTGACCAAAAATCTAAACACAGAAGGAACAAACTCTAGATTCAATTTGTGCTATCCTTACAACTGATTACCATGTCATACATACTACATTCGGCGTATTATGTACTTCAGGTGAGCTAAGAAGATAAAAAGCCAGAACAGCCTTTACTACTTGATTTCAACCAGGGTTATATCTTCAGAATCACAGAAAGTTCTATCACTATACTGCAAGCACTAGGTCTTCTTCTAGTAAAGTATTTAGTAAAGTGAACATTCACGTAAACGA